CTTCAACGCCCAGAATTCCCCAGCCAGCCATGCTGGCTGGGGAATTCTGGGAGTTGAAGTCTGCACCACTTAAAGTTCCCAAGGTTGAGGAATATTGATCTAGACATTTCAATACCATGACTCTTCCATTCAGGTTGTCCACCCCTAATCGCTTCTCTCACTCTATTCTAATCACATTAGTTTTGGGGAAATGTCTTGCTCTTGAGGGCAAGACGTCAGTCAGACTGCTTAGTTGCCATCTGGGTAGAACTGCACTCTGAAAAGGCCAATGAATCCCTTCAGGACCCATCAAAACGAATACACATTTTCTATCCCCCCAAAGACTGCGGGTCCAAGACAGATACTTAGCTGTCGAGGTCCAGAATGTATTTATCTGGAGTGAATGTTCCACCCACTTCACTGAAACGCGTGGGCTTTTCTCGTATCTCTTTCCTGTTAATAAACGATACGACAGAAGCAGGAGAAGAATCGGTGATCCTATCCTGCACAGTTATCAAAAATTATGTCCACGGTTTCTCCAAAATTTATGACTTAATTCTTGGTTCTCTGTCACCTTCAGCTCCTTGGCCTCCTACTGTAGGTGCCTCTGAAATCTGGGGGCGAGAAAGCAAGTTCTGAAAAAGGATGAAAAGACTCTTCCCGTTCCCATTATTTATTGAATCCATGATTTGGCTCCATTGTTATCCTTTTTTGGGCCTGCTTTTTTGTTCTTTCTCACCTGGGAAGAGGAGACGGAAATCGACCTCTTAAGCCTTACCTTTTGTCAAAGCAATTGGACCAAAGTAGTTCGTTTCCATCACTTTTCTGTCCACCTCCATCCCGGTGTCCACTATGGTGCCTCGGTAGCTGATCCCAGCGTTGTTAATTAAGATATCAACATGATCCACACACTTCAAAATCTCCTTAGCAGCGTTCATGACTGCTTTGATGTCCGAGAGGTCAAAAACCACAGCGTGATGTTTATGGGCCTGTTAAAATGGGGGGGGGGACCCAGACTCACAACTTTGCATCCAAACCCTTTCCGGACTTTGCAGGGTAGCTTTGTATCATGTATCTGTTGGCATTGTCCTTCTATTTTGTAAGCCTCTCCAAAGGCATTCCCAGGAACCAGGGTAGAAGCTCAAAAGAATCACTTCTCCCTGTGTGCAGAGGTGTGTATGCACCACTGCTGTTATTTGCACAAACACTACCACCAAAAAAAGACAGGTTAGCGTAGTGTGCTTAAATGGATCAGGGGCGTGATAGGGGTGTGGTGTAGACCCACCATAACCCAGACTGTGATGGGCAGCAAGGTTAGTTTTAACCCCAAAGATGACCTGAGTCTCTTTTCCAGCATAAACTAACCTAACCCAATCAACTGTGTTGTGCATATACAATAACTCAGTCAAGAGAGGGGCAGTTCTAAAGTGCCTCCTGCTCCAGCCTGTGAAAAAGGAGGAGAAGGAGACAGAATGGACCCAACCTTCTCCATTCTGGCCAGATTCCTAGCAGCCCCAGAAACCACCTCCCAAAGACTGTACCAGCCTAGCCAGACCCATTGTTGCTTCCTGGCCAAAGGGAAAAGGAATGCTGATATCCTGCTAATATTCCCTTGGCACAAGGGCTCTGAGGATGCCTGGGGGAAGTGGATGGGTTCAGTGTTCCTCAACTTGGAAACTATTTCTGGGTTAGCTGTGGACTGGGTTAAGCGAGCTGGGCAAACCTGGACCATTTTTGTGAGCCTGCTTTAAGGTTAAAAGGCTAAGTGTGAGCCACCCTTCCTGTAGCCTCTACCCTGTTCCTTTATCTGGATCTTTATTTTTAGAGGGAATCACAACATCGTGTAGACCTAGGCATATTATATTTCTCATTGTCACCATCCACCCTTCTCAGCTAAGGGGCTGCTAACATTCACTGATTATATCGGAAGGGGTTTAACAGCCATCATGTTTTGGATGGCATGCCAAGAAGCCACCTTAGACACATGGATGCTGTCCAAAGCCCCATCTCCGCTTCCTCAAACTCTGAAAACTAGAGATGGCAGGGACCTGGAGCCTGGATTCCTGAAGGACAGAGGAAGCAGTGGTATTCATTTCCCAGCCTTCCTCTTGCCTTCCCTCCCACTACTTACATTTTTGGAGGGGTCAGCAGCAGTAGATAGCTCCTGAAGAACATCCTGAAGCCTCTCTCCATTTCGACCACACAGCACCAGTTTGGATCCCGCAGCATGGAAAGCTTTGGCGCACTCTTGCCAGGAAGAAAGCAGGAAGACGATGTGAGAGAGATCCGTTTGACTCTAAGTCCCAGAATGCCCATCCAACCTGAGGCCCTCTAGATGTGGTGGACCACCACTTTCACAATCCTTCACCGTTGGCCGTTCTGGCTGGAACCGATGGGAGCTGGGTTGACATCTGGCTGGGTTGACATCTGCCCCAAACCATTTTGTCTTTAATTAGTTCAGTTGTACAGTCATGTTCACTAGAGCAACAGCACTTCTTTCTCAACCAAAAAGCTGTTTTATGAAGGCAAAAGGGTATGTTGCCATTCTTAAATAGGTGTGTCAGAGAGTAAATATCCCTGGGAAATGATGAGATCATTTTAGCATCTGTCTCAACGAGAACAAACTCATGTCCTCTTGGAATGATGTTTAAAAAAAAAAGGATGACAGATAAGGGTTGCAAAGGGGTTTTTGTTTAACCTGATTGCTGGAAAAAATTAAGTTCCCATCCACAAATGAAGAATGCAAAACATTTTTTCCTGCCAATCTGAAGCCAGGACTTTTCATATTATCTTGGATTCCTGTCTCTCAAGGCAACACAGAGACTAGCTTCCCATACTGTGCTAAGCCATAGTTTGCTCTCTCATGGCTGGGTTGACTCAACATGCTAAGCTAGAAACAAGCAAACCACATGCTGGTTTAGTCTGTAGTGCAAATCTAGCCAAGGAGAAGCATGAGAGTCTTCAGACACTGGGGTCCTCCTTGCCAGATCGAACTTCAAAAGAAAACCTACCTTTCCCCAGCCCAGAAGTCGCGCCTGTGATTACTACCACTGCATCCTTGAGGTAGGCCCTTGCCTCGATCCACCTGAGCAACCGGAAGAGACCGAAGACCCCCAGGCCGCCCAAAAGCACCGGAAGAAAGATCCCAGAGATGAAATCCATCAGCTTTTGACTTCTTCTCCTGGAGCGGCAGAAATGAACAGACAAAAAGGCACATAATGTGGATTGAATCACAAAGCCCTTTCCCTTTACGTGATCCAGGGTGCAGCTGAACTAGCCCAGGGCCATTTCATCACAGACAAAATGGGTCAACCAGAGAAATGAAAGCAGTTTGGGAGGGCTGGCTGGGCAACTCTTCTAATCAATTTTGCACTGGGGTGGGCTTTCCCTCTGCCCCCTTAAATCACAGACAGTGAAGGAGCAAAGCGCCTTCCTAAGCCAGTGTTCCTCAACCTTGGCCACTTGAAGATGTGTGGACTTCAACTCCCAGAATTCCCCAGCCAGCCAATAGTGTTCCGATCCAAACTGATTGAGTTCGCACGTTTCACCAAGCAGTAAAGTGGTTGGGTTGGTTTTGCCTTAGGATGAACCCAAACTGTGATGGTTTATTTAGTAAACATGGGCTAAGCAACACTATGGTTTATTAGGGTTGAAAGAAGCCACTGTAGTTTGTAAACCATGGATTCAAACTTAGCATTAACTATGATACAGGAATGAGGCCACGATGGCTTGTTCAACAGCAATCCGTTAGGGTAAGCCACCACTTACCATGATGTGGGAGCCCAGCCATTGTGGCTTGCTCAATGATCCACACCTAAAATAAACTGTGGCTTACCACAATGCATGAACCCAGCCAACACAAAGAAAGTTGGCTTTCCAACGCCTGCTCCCATTTTTCCTTTTCCAACCAATTCCAACATTCTGTGGCTCAGCTTACTGAGTTCTCATTAAAACATCCTCCTGAAGCTCCTTTGAAGATATATTTGTGAACATTTATTCTCCTTTCACTCCCCTGAGTTTGGCTCCACAGCCATCATTCACTGCTTGCATCTGCTCTTAAAAGGATGATAAACTGATTAATGTAAAACTTAGAGTTCAAACCTAACCATAATTGATTTTAGCTTAATATCAATCCATGCATTACTTTAATTTTGCTTATTTATAGCATCGCGTAGCTTCTTTTTATAAACCACCCCCAAAGTGGCATGCAAGTCATTAAACAAAGCAGTCTACAATAGTGTTTTAAAAATAATAATACCGGAAAACTCAACATTGCCAAAAAAACATTAAAAAATCAGACAACAGACGACAACAGTACAGAAGCAGTTTTTGAACCGAACCCCGGGGTGAACAAGTTGGCCTTGGGCTCACACTGAAAGGTTAAGAGCTTGGGTGCCAATTCTGCAACTAGGTATTCCATTCTCAGGCAAACCCCAACCCAAACAGGAGGCAAAAACATACACGTCAAACAAGTCAGAGCCGGGAAAATGCCAAACTACCTTGTGATCCGCTGGGCCCACCTGAGACTAGCCTCTGGATCCACGATCAGAGAACATGCCTCACTGTACTTTGGACAGGTGGGTTCTGGAAGAAGATTTGCCTCAACTAAACTTGGTGCCAAGTAAACCATTTCCATTCTTCTCACTTTAGAGAGAGTTCACTTTCTACAGGGAGAGCATTCAGTCAACATCGATGTCAGAAACCAGAGGACACCAGTGGAAACTTCAAAGCATCTTTGAGATAACTTACTAGGAACGAGCCATGAGGGCCATCAGATGGTTGATGCTACCATTCACAGAACGCATAATACAAAACCATGCCACTTCACATCATGCTCCACATTTGGAATCCCAGAACTGTCAGGTATTCCATTTTCTGTATTTCAGGCCTAGGTGTAGAAAAAAGTAAGCTGGTTCTCACTGTGGAGAACCAACTGGGAAAACAAACTGGATTTATCAGTGCAAGACTCTATAAACCAATGGTAGGGGCCATCTTTACCCGAGTTTTAAAGGCCATTGCTTTCAAGGAGACCTTCAGCTTTGCTCCGAAGTGTTCCTGAGGGAATGGACTTTAGCAGAATGGTGCTCACCACCTTTTGCTTTGCTTTTCCAACCGGGTGTCCTCCAGATATGTGGGGCCACAGGCCCCATCATCTTAGCCAGCAGAACAGCTAAGTTCTAAGTTCTGGGAACTGAAACCCAACACTTCTGAAGGTTAGATTCCCCACAGGCATGACTTTGCAAATCCCACATTCTGAGGTTATTGACACACACTTTTGCTGCACATTGTTACACCTCTATCAGGTAGTTTAATGGCCAGATTCGAGATCTCTGTTCTCAATTTTCTATCAAGAAGAGAAGCTTTGGAAAGTGAACATAGTGAGGGAGGAAAGGATCTTCACCCCACCAGTCCCTCTTCAGAGCCTCCAAGTAAATTAGCCTTGATAGGCCTTCTGTTACAAATCAAGAAGAAGGTCCTGACCATTTCATTCTAGTCCATTAGACAAGTCCCACCAAGTCATTACTACTTTCCAGTTTTTTTCCCCCTTAATTATTCACCTAAAGCCCTGCATTCATCAGCTGTATTTCAAAATTTCTTAACCTACAACATATTTCTGTTCAACTGAGAGGAAAAAAACACGATGTTCATTAAGTATCCTTCATTTTATTTCCAATCAAGTATTATCTAGGAGTTCATAAGGGTGCGTTAAATACCCCTGTGGTTCTTGCCTTATCAACTATGCTTTATTTGGCTTAACTTGCTATTATCTAGACTGTGAGTATAATGGATCGTTACCAGTTAATCAGCCTGTAATACTTGCTTATTTCAATATCTTTTCTTTCTAAATAATTGAAGAGCAAGAGCGGCTAGATGCCCCATGTTACATGTTTATTGCTAAAATGTATTAGTTGCTCCAATACATGTAAAGTTCTCAGCCCAAGATATCATAAGAAAGATCCATATTAACGTTAATGTAGAAATCCTTCATCCCCGCAAAGAAAAAGACAAAGCGACATTTTGTTCTCTTGAGCTGCCTTCAGCTGAACTTAAACTGGCCATCAAGAACAGCCTCACAGATGAAGCTTCAAACAACCCTCGCCGTGAGGCATAAGCCAGTGGGAACGACCATCAGCCTTAATGCTTCTTCTCTGTTCAGCATTTCCAGCAATTCGATATTGCAATAAATGCCAGGAAAGCAGACTAAAGGGCCTGCTGGATCAAAAAATACCTAATGTAAAATAAACTGTAATTGGGAGAAAGAGAGCTCTGAAGATGATGAACAAGAAAATGTAAGAACCTCTCTCCTTTTCATGTAAAAGTAGTCTTTAAGGTCTTGTCGTGTTATCACCCCCAGGGCGTGAAGAATATATAAGGTCGTACCTTTTTGGAAAATAAGAGCTTCGATTGCAGAACAGTGTCCCATGCTGGTAGCAGTCTCTGAAGCTTTGACCGAGGGCCGAAAGATTTAAATAGATAAGTGGCTGACAGCCAAGCTGAGATGCTTAATCTAGAAATGGCACATGAGAGCAAAGCCAGCCTCCAAGAAACACATCGTAATGTTATAGGCATGTCTATTATTTTGAGTTAGACAGAAGGAATATCTACGTTATATTAGACTGGTTCAATGGAGAACCATGAGGACATGGCCCTGTTGACCAAAAAGCAAGATGATCATCAGGTGGGGTCAACTGCCAGGCTCAACCACAGAGCAAAATCCAGGCTTGCTTAACGCACCACCATTTGCTGAGTTCATACAACGAGCTAAAACAAGGCCAAGCAAACTATATTTGTGGACTAGTACAAAGCAGACAATGTAAAGTAAACTCTGGTTTATAAGCTGCAATGGCTCAGTTCACCCAACAGGCTATGAAAATCCAAACAAACTACATATCTTTGCACACCTCCAGGCTGTACATGAAACTGCTGTAGGCCAAGCCAGAAAACTGGTTTGTCTAGCACATTCTGTTTCGACTGACAGCAGGTCATCACACACCTTTCTAGCGTGAGCTGCCTGAAATACAGTTTTAAGTAGGGTTGTCAGGAATTGAATGTGGGATGCTCAACTCCTGAGTGATGGATCTCATTTTTACTTTCCTCTTTCCGTCCATTTGGTCGTTTGTGACTTGAAGCCACCACTTTTGCCAACTTTTCCTGCCAGGTTGACGAGGCAGTTCTTCCTGGAAAACTGGCACCCAGCTGAGCAAGACATCACTGTTCAAGCTGCAAACTCAGACCCACCACAAATTCATAATAAATGGGATAAAAGCAAAATGCAAGACTTTTCCCCAACTGGTAACCTCAAGATGCATTTGAACTTCTAACCCTAGAATTCCCTGTTATGTTCCAAGCCATTTGGAAGACATCAGATTAGAGAAAAATGGTAGGGTATTTCTACATTAGAGAGCCAGTCAGGGGTAGTGGTTAAGGCACCAGGCTAGAAACCAGGAGACTGTGTGTTCTAGCCTCGCCTTAGGCCCAACGCCAGCTGGGTGATCTAGGGTCAGTCATTCTCTCTCAGCCCTGGGAAGGAGGCAAGGGCAAACCACTTCTGAAATCTTGCCAAGAAAACTGCAGGGACTTGTCCAGGCTGTTGCCAGAAGTCAACACTGACTCAAAGGCACCCAAAAAAAATCTACATCAAGACTAGCTTTCTTTTTTCATTCATTCATAGCACTGGAAGCCGTCTGTCTGCTAACCATCCTTAATTTTAGTGGCACCAGACTGTACTCCCCAGCGCTTAATGATTCAGGATTGCTTCACCTACATTCCTCTGGAAAAAATATCTGGTCCTTCTTTCAACAAGCTAAATTGAATTCTCCTCTTGCCCAGTCCTGCAACACTGGTTCTGTTCTCAAGTACCTCCTCCTGTTCCTCGCCAACAGGGTCCAAGTGCTTTTACAAAAAACATATGGAGGTTGTAAATTCAGAATGATGGAGATGGAAGATACACTCCTGTCCGTCTACTTCATCTTCTGCTGGATGAAGGAAATTTCCCAACTGATGATTAACCAAGAGTGCCAACCCTCTTCTTTAAGCACTTTTGCCATGAAGATGTTTATCCTAATGCTTGACTAACACCTCCCCTCCTGTGATTTCAGTCTTCTAGATATAATACCATTCTCTGGGGAAGCAGAGAACATATTTCTTTAAAGGCTCTTCTCTGTGACAGCTCTTCAAGTTTGGGAGGAAAGCTATTGATCCCTGAGCTAGCTTCCCCTCTCATCTTAAGGCACAGTTTTATTAATCAGGTTAAATAAACTACAATTGGCTGGGTCCACACAACACACTAAGCCATACATCATGGATTACAAACTACAATCGCTTGGTTCATAGAACACATTTTTTAAAAGCCAAACTATAAACTTTAGGGTTTAGTGCAATGTTGAGACGAAATCTAGCTCTTCTCTTGAGCATAGTAACTAGATGTGTTTAGTCTGGAGAAGTCACAGCAAGCTATTTTTCAACATCTGATGCAGTGCTAACACCAAGGTTTTTATATGGGGGTAGGTGGAATTGCTCTATCTTCCATTTTTCACAAGTGCATAAAGCATACAGGCATAAATGCATTTGCCCATTTTCCACACGTCCATTCAAATGCCTGTATAACTGAAATATTTTTTAAATTGCTTCAAGTTACGTAACTGAATTAAATTGCTCAAGATGATTCAGCAGATCATTACAGAACAAGAATCTACTTGCTGAGCATCCCAAACCCAGCAGCTATTAGAACGTGACAGAACCCCCCAATTTGCTTGTTTGGCAGTTTGCTTTTTCGACATGATCTCTGATTAAAATACTACAATTACACTCTCTGAGAAGTTGAATCCTAAGGACCTTAATTCCAAGAAAAGAACAGAATCCAGCTGCAAGCCTGCTACATTAATGCTACAGAGATGTGAAGATTCCAGTTTTGCTTTGTGGCAAACATAATTAAGGATTACTCAACAAGCCAAAGTGTTCTGGATTCCCTAAAGTATTCCCAAGACCTTTGTGGACAAACATTCAAAGCCAAAACACAGCTAGTTCATTCAGTGTCCAGTGTGAATACGGTCAGAATGTTACAACTAAAGCTGCATGTAATACCTACTTACGGGGGAATACTTCCATGCTGAAAAGACCTTCCTTCTCCAGAGATGAGAACCCTTACTGAGAAGGAGAAACAAATCAGTGGAAGGTGCCAAATGCCTTCTCCTTCAAGACAGATGCCTCAATAGTTCACAGCAACTCCAAGAATGTTGCACATTCTTTTATGTTTCAATTTTATGAAGGCGCTCCCATTCATCTGAAGCCTCTAGAAATTTACTGTCCTCATCCCAAAAATGTACCTTCCCCACAGATCGCACTAGTAAAGCTACCCCAAAATAGCTTGGCACGCACATGCAGCTCCTCCTTGAAATACATGAATTCACAGGTATTCGGTTAAAAGTAGCTAAGCCAAACAGCCAGTAGGTTCATTCAATCTTTTCCTGTATTGGCCACAACCGGTTCCTTTAATTCCCCAAAGCGTTATCTTCTCCTCAAAAGCCATCTCCCTTTTCAATCCAGAGGCTGATTTTTGTCCTGTTCAGAGTCCATTATTTGGGGACACCCCCACACTGCCATTTTAGGACCAGGACAGCCTCTTCCAGTTCCAGCTTAGTTATTATTATTGTTGTTGTTGAACTGACGTTTATCCCATTCTTCTTGCACCAGCCAGAGTTCACCATAAAGATGATGTGTCCTCCTTGATTGACTATATGCCATCAAGTCGATGTTGACTCTTAGTGACCGCATAGATAGGTTTTCTCCATGACAATCTGTCCCCAACCTGGTCCTTCTGCTCTTCCAATGGTGCATCCATTGCCACTGTAACCAAGTCCCTCCACCTTGCTGCTGGTGATCCACTTCTCTTTCCTTCCGCTTTTCTCAGCATTAGAGCCTTCTCCCAAAGTTAGGTCTTTGCAGAAAGTGTCCAAAGTAGGATAATTTGAGCCTGTCATTTATGCCTCGAGTGAGAACTCTGGGGTGATTTCTTCAATGATCCATCGGTTTGTTTTCTTGGCCATCCACGGTCTTCTCAGGAGTCTTCTCCAACACCAAAGTTCAAAGGTGTCAATATTCTTCCTATCCTGCTTCCTCAAAGTCCAACTTTTGCTTCCATAAAGGGTCACAGGGAAGACCACGGCTTGCACTATTCTTATCTTTGTTAGATACAGACACATCACACCATTTCAATATCTTTTCCAAGGCCTTCATGGCTGCTCCACCAAGTACTAGTCTGTGCCATAGTTCTTAACTGCTGGTTCCTTTATTGTTAATGGTTGATCCAGAAAGGCAGAAGCTCTCCACCACTTCAGTAATCTCATTTCAATTCTAAGGCTGGTGTCTTCCTTACCCCCCCCCCCCCCCCTATAAACCTCATTCAATCTCAAGGCCGGGGTCTTCCTTCCCCCCCCCCCCCGCCTTTAGTACCCCAACCCTGATCTTGTGAGGCACATTAGATTGAGAGATGGCAACTGTCTCAGGATGAACTCCCAGTCTCACCCTCCAACCCAGTGTTTCTCAGCCTCAGCAGCTTTAAGATGTGTGGACTTCAACTCCCAGAATCCCCCAGCCGCTATGCTGGGTGGGGAATTCTGGGAGTTGAAATCTACATTTCTTAAAATTGCCAAGGTTGAGAAACACTGCTCTAACCTCCTTCCCCATCCATTTCTGGGGGGAATCCCATTACCCTCCCCCAACATCGCTCTCATCTACTGCTTTCCATATCTATTGGACTACAGCTCCCATCCCCTCTGATCCAGCCATGGCCTCAACCTGTTGCTCTCCACCCCATCCTTTCCATCCACCGCATCTGCAGCCAGTGCCCTCTAGCTGTTTTGGTCGGGAATCCCCATCATGCCCAGCCATTATAGTTACTGTGGATGATGGGAACTGCAACCCAACATCCAAGATTGAGGAAAGCAACTCTAACCCCCGTCTCCCCTCTTTTTGGATTTATGTAGCCAGGCTCCCCCGTATCTCGCAAGATGTGATCCCGATAGCAACCCACTCCCGCATCCAAGCTCCCCGTCCCGGTTTTGTATAAACTACCTGGCAACCACCATCACCGTGATTACACACCCGGAAGTGGGATGACCCATTCTCCCCGCCCCCTCTCTCCCCTGGGTCCAATCAAGAAGCCTCGTTCTAATCTGGACGCCAGGCGGAGCTATCAGGCCAGCAGCCAATCAGCGACGGCGCAAGGTCGAACGCCCCGAAGCAATCGAGGCGATGGGTAGTCTACTGCCATTTAAGTTCCCTCCGGAAACTTGGGCCCTTGGCTTAGAGTTCCGCCCCAGCAATCACTCTAAAGAAAGGAAAAATAGAATAAAACATGATTTACTCTTTAATGTCGTCGAGGGAGGGAATAAGTGAAAAGGCTGGGGCGGAGATTTCTTGAATCCTGAACAGGGCGGGGTC